CACATTTTTTTATTTTTTTATTCGCGCATGTCACATCTACGCCCTTTTAATGCGAGGTTACATGAGAACAAACAAAATATGTGACTGGAGCAAAGTCTCCCCCTATTTATTGTCTTTCATGGCGTAGGAAAAGCCTGGCCAGGTATCAGCGTCACCCTCGCATATAACGTAAGTACATTTAATAGTGACCGCTCATTTGCGCGCAAGTTAACGAATATATTTTCAATAATTGAGAAATTTGCTACATCAAGTAATAATGTTACCCTGCACTTCAAAAAAAAATTTTTTTTTCTGTTGGCATTCTTCCCCAGTCTCTTTCCTTCCCCCCCCCCCCCAAAAAAATATAATCTCTAACATCCATTCTCTCTCTCCTCCGTCGCGCACTAACCACTATTTATGTTACAGAAAATGTCAGCCATCGTTAGCAAAATCAACCATCTCATGATGGTTGGAAACAACGCACGCAAACTACAGCACTCTGATGACTACTACCAATACCTAGGGCGGATGCCCGCCTCCCTATTCAAATGCCAGCCCTGGTCATACATCCTGCGGCTCTCATCCATCATAGAGCTGCTAGAAGGGGACAAATTAGACAAAATATCGGACTACAGAGTCACCGCCTATATATACGCTGCGGTGGAAGAAGCCCAAGGGGCGTTTGACGGCGCAACTGGAGAAGTCATCAAGGATTTCAGGAGTGTTCGCGTCCTAAATAACCGCGCCTGGCAGACTTATTGCTGGTGCCGCAAGTGCGTTCCGCGGACCACAATCATGATGCACTTGCGGCACACGGCCAAAGCCGAACCCAAGTACGAAGACGCCCCGCTCCTCCAGACGGGTATAGGCCGCGAGACCTGTATCCGCACCATCGAACAGGTATGGCTCCTCATGCCCAAACATGAGATTTTCCAGGAGCATCAGCTGCTCTGGGACCAACTCAACGAAAGCCCTTCCTCTACAATACCACGACCACCAAGCGCTTGCAGCAATGGCTCCCACTCATCAACCGCTCAACGGCCGCAAAGCACCTGCTCCAGTTGGCAAGTGTTAGAAGAAGAGAATACTGACCCGAATTTCCAGTAAAATGCTTCGTGATCATCCAATCTCATTCATTTAATACCGCCACCAATATCTCCTATCTTGTGCAATATGTACATAATTATCTCACTACAATAACCTAATCAGTAAAATATGTATAACCAATGTGCTCAACCTCGAAAAGACAGGGGAAAAAACCCACATCCAAAGCTGTTTACATTACGAATTGAAAAGAAATAATTCCCATAGCACTAACACCAACAAGCCAAAACAAAATATAGTATCTGTTAGTTTGCTGCACAACTAAGCTTTGAGTAATCTAGTTTTTTGCAATATAATCCGCGGCTACCACTTTTCCATTTTCCGATCGCACCAACAACATCACTACCGAGATTTTATCCAACTACAGATGACGTGCTAAAAAGCTATTCGGAGTACACACATTTCGAAACATACTTACAAAACAGATGTTCAAAACTTCCACGATCTCTACTCAGAGATAATAAAGTCGCACCACATGTTTCAATTGTAGTCAGTATACAGAGATAATCCTAGTAATACTGTTCCGGATGTATCCTAACTACCGTACTCTGCATTCGAGATAAGTCCAGTAATACGACTAATGCGCAAACGTAATCCTTGCTCCGCGTATAAATTATGCACCGAGTTCGCGCACTGCCGCCGCGACCCTTGCTCCGCGTTTAAATTATGCACCGAGTCGCGCACTACCGTAAGTCACGCGTAGAATCACAAATGAAGACGCAGCATTCAACCTAAGTAAAGCGCACTCAATTATTAACAATCTCACCATGCGTGAGACGCGAGTCGTGCGTAGAATACGTGGAGCTTATATTCAGTGAAACACTCGGGATCTCCATCAAAAATGCACGAAAGTTGGCCGACCAACTTTCTCGTACATGTATATAAGTTGCACGCCACTACCGAGCACCCTCATTCTCGCTTCAAACACCTAGCTGCCAGCCGACTCCAACTCAAGCCATCACCCCCCCCCCCCTCTTGGAACCAGCTGCTCATCTTAATAAACGTCGCAACACAACCAATCTATTCCACAACTCACCCTCAAAACCAACGTCACTCGTCAACAGTGAGTATTAAATACTAACTTTCATTCTCTGTGATAACTTGTAAACTCTTCTCTTCCTAATCATTCGCACACCCTTTCATACGTAAGAAAAACTCCATTTTGAGAAAAGAAAAGGCACATCATAATCTCATATTTTCCTTTCTCATCTCCTATAATTACAGCCATTCGGCTGTCAGCTACTAAACCCCGCTAATTCGCACCAACGCACGCTCATTGCTAACTTGTAACAAAGTTAGCCAAACCTTTCACAAATCAAACTCAAATACTACTCTCGCCCCCCCCCCCCCAAATCTTTATCGCTGTATAACGATAACAAAAAAAAACATACAAAAAAATCGCAACACAAAAAAAAATCGATCACAACTAGGAAAAGCCTTCACTCATTCGCCGTAAAGATCTTGACGTACCCACCGCACCTCTTCAACGTTGCGTTGGCCTAAAGCAATCGATTCAAGGAAAAACCGTCTTTAAAAAAATATATATATATATCTCAAATCAAAAAAAAATCCTATCTTTCGGAAAAGGTATTATCAATCCAACTTAGCTCAAAAATCAGCTAAAGTCATTCGTAGTACTACAGAAAACAACGAGAATTAGGAAGTAAATCAAAAAAAAAGAACAAACGAAGAAAAAAAATAGAGAAAAGCACTATCCGTAAAAAAAAAATCGTAACTAAAAGGAAAACATACACATCTCATTGCTCCGCAGTAGTTTCTTTTGTGAGCATCGAGCGTGCCCAGTGAGTCCACGGCGAAGACTCTATAAAACCCTATATAGATTCTACTAACTGAAAAAAAAACTCATAGAGATCTAGCTCTCATTTCTGTCAAAACATCCCCTAAAAACCGCTAAGAAAGCGCGCGCTTGTCAAATAAATTGTGACGACCGTAACGTAACGCTCGCAAAACTGGGAAAAGAACGCAAAACCCCGCGTATAACGCAATCTAACGTAGATCGTCCTTCCACTAGCGAATTAGAACCCCCGGAAGATTTTGAATACCATTCCGTAGACGAAAGCAATCCCAACTTCTCTCTCGACGTAATTAACGATCTTCGCGCCATAATCAGAGACTTTCAAGACCGCAAAAAAGCAGCAAGAGAGCAACGACCCTCGTCGACCTCAGGACGCCCGAACATGCCCAGCGCAAGCGTACAAACCAATACGGCACCGGTATTCGAATACCCCGGATTTTCCCAGCCAGATTTATATGCCTCAAGCAAACTTCTAGGGACCCGCTTAGAAAGATTTACCGGCGATGGTGAGAAAACATTTGAAGAATTTCTCGATGATTACAAAGAATTGGTAGATAGCCTACATATTCCCCACGCATACGCAAAAAGCCTACTCCCCCTATTTCTAGGAGGTGGAGCTAAAGTAAAATTCCAAACCCTAACTGACCAAGAAAAGGAAACCTGGGATTCCATGGTTTTGGCCTTAGCTAAAAAGTTCAAAAACGAAGCAATGCTAAGTAACGTCCGCGACGAATTACACCATCTTAGACAAGGAAAAGACTCCGTAGGAACATTTGCAAAAAAGATCCTAGCAAAAACTAAAGTAGCGTACCAAGGTGAAGACCAAAGGATTCCTAACAAACTAGCCATAGACTTTTTCATCAAAGGCCTAAGGCCCGACATTCGTAGAGCAGTTCGCAGACTTCCGGACCCTAAAGATTTTGAAACTGCACTCGCAAATGCTGAAAAAGAGCAAAGAATTCTTGAACAGGAATATCGCGAGGAAAAAGAGATCTTGGAGAGTATAAATAACTTAGTGTTAGATGCAAAAGTGGACGAATTAACTAGCCAAGTAAACAGCCTTCAGCAGTCAAGTAGAAATCCCTCAAATAGAAACCCCTCCAGAAGTCCTACCCGAGACCGTCCTCGTCCCACGGTACGCTTCAATGTGCCCCCGCGCCAGAATACAAATTTCCAACAAAGACGATCGCTAACCCCATACCGTCCCAGGACAGGAACTTACGTAAACCCACCACGTCGACTCCGCTTCGTTCCTAGACGAGTTTTTCCGAACCCTAGATTTTGGAACCGCCGCCCATTCAACCCGTTTCGCAATTTCAATCAACCCTATGTTCCATATCCTCCATATGCGCAGCAGTTGCCCTATGTTGGTCCCAATCAACAGCTAGTACCGCCAATAACAAACGCCCCGCAGCAATACTATCAAGCCTCAAACCGCCTTCCTTCAGCTGCACAAAACGTAAATTTCCTTTGCATACTGGCAATCATAACCGCTTGCCTTATATTCCCCGTAGGAACATTCCAAATATGTGGCAGCAGTTCATTTCCTAACGTACTTTCGCTTCCGAAACTAGTGCAATGCAGAGTAACAACAGAAGAACCAATGATTGAAACCAACATACAATTATTCGGCGAAACCAACAAACCCCTACAGATAACGGCGTACAAATGTTATCGAGATGTAATCAGAGTTTCTATACACAATTTCCTGTATATTAGAACTAGACGAACTGTAATAGGCCGCCAGCGCATATCTCTCTCACAAGAAGATTGCGAACTAGCCAAAACTACCAACACCATTCATGGTCACCCTTTAATTGAGGTCTCACCTGGGCTAAAAACAACTGACGAAATAGAAGATGAGAAAGCAACGCTACCTTTTTGGGGAACAAACTTGTACTTACGTAGTTTATATTCTATCGAGGAAGGACAAATAGCCACCATTAATGGCGAAACCATGCTCAGCACCCTGGGAAACCTTAACAACTGCTCTCTTTCCCAAGGTGTCTGTCTGACACCCAATGAGATTATAATCTGGCCCGTATCTGTTGCCCCTTGGTGTAGATACACTGCAATTGGTAACTATGACGCGCTCGTCAGCATGAAATTCATCCTCATTCCGGAACACGAATTAGCTTTCGAATTTAGTGACAACCACATGCTTCGCGCCCAATTGTTGCAACACTGCACCATAACTAATAGCTACTTGACTACCTCCAATCATATTATTTCCTTCCCAAACATACCATCCAATACTATGGTCCAAGACTTCATTTTGGAGAGCTCCTATAATTTCAAAAGAAAACGCGAAGTCAAATACCTCACAGACACAGAGAACAGGCAGTCTCGGTACGAGCTAGTGCCCCCACAGACCTTACCCATAGCCGAAAGAATTTTCGGTAGCACAGATTTCCAAAAATTGCCGCCTTTCGAGACCCAGCCTATAACGGATATTCTTTTATTGCGAGAAATCAAACTTTGGAACATCACGAACGCCGACTTTCTCCGTAGAAGCCGTATGTATGAAATCGAAAATATCCGTATAAACACCCTCCGTACTATTCGGTACGCCGAGTATCGCTATAGGCAAATCGCCTGGCTCAGATCCATCGAAACTAAAAGACCTTTGAACTATGCAGAGCGCTCATTATTACAAGACCTCGAACAAGGCATCACCGACGTCTTCGATAAGTATCTGTCCGACGAATTTGGAATATTGAAATTAGATATTAACAGCGACCCCGCCAACCTTAAGGGAAAACCCTCACCATACTTCCAAGCAAAAGATTTGGAGAAAGAAAATGTAACAAACCAAATAGAAGCAGATCCATTTGCTAGCATAGAACGGGAACGACTAAAAAGTACCACTCCCCGCCCGTCGACCATTGCTATTTCGACCGCGAAGACGATCACAAAATTCCCCACGACAACAACAACCACTTCCAAAACCACTACTTCTACGACCACGAAGACAGCACCAACTACCTCTACGCTGTCTCCCATCACCAGGTCACCCGTAATCATACCGCCAGTACATGTAATCCCGGAGACCAAATCACTCAACCCGATTGGCTTCTATACAACGACGACGACCAAACCAACCACCACTACGATGCGAGTTACCACAACAATCGCCGCCACTACTGTCACAGCAATGCCAAGTACAACAAAAACGTCCACAACTAAATCAACGACTACTGCGAAACCAACTACGACATCCTCGACCGCCCCTCCTACAACACCAGTCAGAGGCAGTAAACAGACGACTCCGCCAAGCATAACACGACTACGACCGTGCCACAAACAAGTACAGTTCCTGTCAAGGTTTTGAGTTATGAGAAGCTAATACCTTTGCCACCGTCCGAATCCGTACTTCTACCTCTACATAAACAAAGCAAACGGACGAACCATGTCTCTTCGCCAAACTCAGACGACAACCGCCTGGATCCTGCGAACATCCGACGCGAATTCAACAGCATATGCGTGAGACAATACCTTAATAACCAAAAACTTCACGAGCTTAGCCATGCCGACCCCACTTGGGCAGCCAGAACCTTATTGGGAACGTCAGACGTGGTAGCCACTCTTACTGACAACGAGCTTCTGGTCTCCAGATGCAGAAAGGTGGAGCCAACAGAAGTGCACTCAAACCACCAAGTGAACCAAACTTGCTATGAACTGTTACCAGTCCTAGTGGAAGAACAATTATGGTTTGCTATACCAGGAACGGGAGACCTAGTTCAATCCGCAACAGAAACGCCCTGCCCCTACATTACCAACTTGAATGGACAGATTCAGCCCATGCTACCACCTAACATGCTTCTCAGCGATAATGCACAACCTTTTATATTCAACTCTCCACCTATTTACCACCACATTATGAAAAGCTATGCTCCCACTGTAAGATTTCAAATCGACGCTCTGCAGCAAGAATATCTCACCTTACAAAACAGATTACAAAAACGAGGTATCATAGACGATGCACTCCTTCAAATCAAAAATGTTAAAAACTCTATAGGCGATTCTCTAACCTCAATTTATGACAAAACGACCAGCAAACTCACAAACGGCATAGAAAGCATAAGATGGTCCCTCATATCATTGCTACTATGGATCACCATACCCGCGCTAGTAGGAATAATATTGGTTGCAACATGCATTTGCTGTGTAAAATTGTACTTTATACGAAAAGCATCCAGTACCGCCGCCTCAGCCATGTTTGAACTAGCAAGTAATTTCACGCCAAAAAGGCGCATACGCAATCGACCGGAAGTCAATGCCTTATTTACCGAGCTACCCTCTCGAGAACCTCTTTTCGTCCCCCGAATTTATGCAATACCGTTCGCAACTAATCACGTCCAAAACCCGCTACCATATGTTAGAATAAGTTTAAACCACTTATCCACCCCAGCTCTGATCGACAGCGGCGCTACGATTTCCTATATGAAACAATCTACCTTATATGCGCTAGGTCCCAACATAACAATAGAAAACAATAATGTCAAAGCACAAGCAGCTAATGGTTCTCCCATAGAACTTTTGGGATCAGTAAATGTAAATGTAAACATAGGAACACACAGCGTACCTCATCGCTTCCTAGTGTCGCATGATCATCAGTGTCCCGCACCCGTCCTCCTCGGCACTGACTTCATCAAAAAATTGAACCAGCAAGGCCTGAAAATAACCATCGATCTACATAACAACTTACTCACTATAGGCAGCGATTCACATAATGTGATCCAAATTAACGCGATTAATTTTTTGGAAGTAAAACCGCAAGACGTACGCCTTTTGCATACTACTATCCTGCCGAAAAGATCTTCCTCCATTGTACCAGCCTTTATCGACAACTATTCCCCTAATAACCCATTCGACTTTATTATCGAGGATAATCAAAGAGAAATAGATCTTCTGTATGTAGTAGGCAGAGCCCTAACTCGCCCATCCAACGATGGATTATGTCTTATAACTATATTAAACCCTTCCTATACAGACATTAAGCTATATGAAAGAATGAGAATAGCATATGCAACACCTGTTTCCTCTCCAGTCGAACAGATATTAGCCATTCAGAACGAATACATTCCGCCGGAAGCGGACTGGGAACAAAGAATTCCTCATTTTCCACTTCCAACGAACACTAGCTATGATATAGCTAAAGAAATAGATTTAACCAAGTCCGCCCTAACATCGCAACAAAAAGACCAACTAGTAGACATAATACGCCATCATTCTAAAGCCTTCGTTGGTCCTGATGGCCACTTAGGACACTACAACGGACCAATTCGGCATCGCATAGATCTCATAGATAATGCTCCTATACCCACTAGGAAAATCTACCGGGTACCGCTGGAGAAAAGGATTGAGATCGAACAGCAAATTACCCAAATGTTAAAAGACGGAATTATCCGTGAATCAGCTTCTCCATTCTGTGCCCCCATAGTCTTAGTACGTAAGCGCGATGCCACCTCTTGGAGATTTACCATCGACTTCAGAGGGCTTAACGCTATAACTAAGCCTCAACAATCCATCCTTCCTAACATTCAGGACATTATCGATCTATGTGCAAATAACTGTCTATATTCTTCACTTGATTTTCAGCAAGGATTTCATCAGATCCCTTTGGAAGAGACGCACTGCGAAAGAACAGCTTTCGCATGTTTTCTTGGAGCATTCGAGTATATAAGAATGCCCATGGGACTCAAAGGAGCCCCCGCGACTTTCCAAAGGATAATGGACGAATTTAAGAAGCACCTAAGAGCCCGCGTTTTCATTTACATTGATGACCTAATTATTACTTCAGAAACGCCGGACGAACACCTTACTGACATAGACGAAGTACTAACCAAGATAGAAGAGATCGGAATGAAACTGAAAGCATCAAAGTGTGAATTCGCGCGTAAAGAAATTAAGTTCCTTGGCTTTGTATTAAGTAAAGAAGGTATAAGACCTAACCCGGAAAAGACCAGAGCAATTGACGACTACCCCACACCTAGAAACCCCACGGACATCAAAGCTTTCCTAGGCATGTGCTCTTTCTTCCGCAGATTCGTACACAAATTTGCAGCCATTGCTTCACCACTTACAGCGCTAACAAAGAAAGATGCGCCTTTTATATGGACCGCCGAATGCGAAGACGCTATGAGACGCTTGAAAGAGGCGCTCACTACCGCGCCGATCCTAGTTGCCCCTAAGCTAGGCCTACCATTCGTTATAGAAACCGATAGCTCTGGAAAAGCCGTCGCGGGAGTTCTAAAGCAAGAACAAGACGAACACTTGAAAGTAATTGCTTACGCTAGCAGAACTCTCAATGTCCATGAGTCTCGCTATCCCGCCATAGAACTGGAGGCGCTAGGTGTAGTATTCGCCGTACAGAAATTCCGACCATACATTGATGGCGCGAAATGCACCGTAATCACCGACCACGCCCCTCTTAAAGCACTCCTCCATAGGAAAGATTTGACCGGAAGATTAGCAAAGTACCAAATAATTTTGCAAGAGTTTGATATAACCATAACTTACAGACCCGGAAAAGCCAATGTTGTGTGCGATACACTCTCGAGACATCCTCCTCAAGTAAATGCCACTCAAACAGGCACAAACACAGAAAGCACTATTGATCTTTCCTCGCCAGATATCATTGACCGCATTAAAGAAGAACAAAACAAAACACCCTGGATCGCATCCTACAAGCAGGCTATCGAAAACGATGAGCCAAATCCTTACGTTAGAGACTACATTATCCTGAATGAAGACTCTGACATCAAAAAGGCACTCATCAAGCAAGTGCATGAGTCTCGCTTTGGTACTGCTCATTTAGGTATACAGAAAACCAAAGCCGCGATAAGCAAGATAGCTATTTGGAATAGAATGTCAAGCGACATCAGCGACTTTGTCCGATCATGCACCATTTGTCAACTGCGAAAGGACCCCTCTGTCTACCGCACCAACGAGCCGCTGGACAGATGTCGACAAATACGATTCCTGTTGCCTCCGATCGTTTCAGTCGCAAGAGATCCCGCTCGTCATCGTCATCCAGCTCTCGTCGCAAGCAACAATCACCTACGCTATCTTATTATCTCTCTTCTTCCTCTTCTTCTTCTTCTCCTTCCACCTCTCCTTCCCCTTCCTTAACTCGTTATCTTCTTTCTACTCCCACTCCTGATATCGCTATGAGTTTAGATGTAACATCTCCAAATAATAACCTTTCTCCTGACATCCTCCTCGTTGTACCTGCAGAATCCGATGTGAATTCGATTGTATCTCATTCTGTTTCATCTCCTTCCCAAGTTAACGACTCTAACAATGCCACAAATCTTTCGCAAGGCACCAATTCTCCATACGTTAATGATTCTGACAATACCACCATCCTTCCGGAAATCACAACCTCCCAAGTTAACAATCCTAGCATTACCGCAAATCCTCCGGAAGGCATCACACCTTCCACAATAACTATCCACGTGCCAACACAAGCCTCCCAAAACTTCTTACGCCGGAGGGTACTCCTCACTACGCCCAAACCTCCTCGTAAATTGCGCACCATCGCACCACCACAACCACGCAATTGGGAGAAACCTCTTGGAGCCATCCCCAGCTTACTCAAACTATGTCTCTCTCCCCGACCAGAGCCACATGAACCCCAGTACTACTATCGCTTAAAACACGAATATCGCGGGCCTACTCACCGACGCTGTTTTAATCCAATTCCGGCACCTCTATGCCTTCTCTGCAGCCAAAGTACTCATCTTACGCGGTACTGTCAATCACCCATGCCCTTCCATAAAAGAGCCCGCATACTCCTTCAAAGATACAGGCTCTGCCCTCGCTGCCTCGAGAGCCATCCCCTAAAAGAATGCACAGAGAACCCAGTGTGCTTCCGTTGTAACGCCACTGGCCACGTCACCGCCATTTGTCAAGATGCCCCTGTCACATTCTTTTAGTCCCGGGGACCGGGACTTTCCGAAAGAAAATCATGTAGGAAAAGCGCTAATAACGGTAATGCGCTATTGGTCCCTGCACTCTTGCCCCGCCCCTCGCCAACTATATAAGCAACTAAACCCCGCCCTCAGAGAGAGAGAGAGGCACCGAGCTAGCCGGCTCCGGCCGGCTCAGCGACATATAATCAACCACTCATTTTTATCTTTATGTTATGTGTATACCATTTCTTCATCACTATCCTTCTATATATATATGCTCTCTGTATTTTCAAGTTCCCCTATATTCCTAAGTCTCTATTGATGTAGTTCAAACTCTATTTCACATCCTAGTTCTGTATTGATGTACTCTGTCCTGCACCCTTTGTGCTGCCCCCTAGTATTCCTTCTTGTTAATAAACCTTTAGTAAGAGAAAGTTGTTACTGTAAATAGGGAAGAATGCCCATATAGAAAAGTCCGACAATGTCGTTACTGTTTCAAAGTCATTCTTAAGTAATCTCTAACAGGGGTCAATCATTATTATATTACAATAAAAATAACTGATATTTCCGAAAACTAATACTGTATTCGTAATCAGCATGCTCGATTACCCCCGTGTGCCAACTCCTAGCTCCGTAGCTTGAACTTTGCAAAAAATCGATAAAATGATAAAAGTAATGGGCATTTTTGAAAATAGTTATCATATTCGTAATCAGCGTGCTCGATTACCCCCGTATGCCAACTCCCGGCCCCGTAGCTTGAACTTTGCCAGAAAATCGATAAAATGATAAAAGTGATGGGCATTTTTGAAAATAGTTGTCATATTCGTAATCAGCATGCTCGATTACCCCCGTATGCCAACTCCCAGCCCCGTAGTCCAAAATTTGCAAGCAAATCGATAAAATGATAAAAGTAATGGGCATTTTTGAAAATGGTTATCATATTCGTAATCAGCATGTTCGATTACCCCCCTGTGCCAACTCCCAGCCCCGTAGTTCAAAATTTACAAATAATCGATAAATTTGGTAGAAGTTATAACAAGCTTCCATGCTGGAAAATGACAAACACGAAAACACCATCGAGGACCTACAGACAGCATCAATAAGCACGCTTATCCACCAGCGTACAGACAAGCCACCAGTGTACAGACAAAATCCCATTCGGTTTTATATATATAGAAGGATAGTTAACACGTTTCGGACCGCGAAATCGCGCGCGGCGAAAAAGAGGTTACTTTCAGGTATTAGCCAACAAAGGGACCTTAATTCGAAGACTCTGTGCTACATCTGTAGTCAGCATGTCAGAAAGGTTCACACCCAATGTTCTGAGTGAATTCGAAGTGTTTGAATTTTGTCGCCTGGGAAGGACTTCTGTGTTTTCCTGAAAAATAGAAACAGATCTCAGTTTCTGATTGTATCCAAAAGTATCTATGTTCAACATGATAAACATCATTATGGGAACTACGGTTTTTCTCTTTGAATTCGAAGCAAAGAAAAGTTGCGACGTCGCACGCGTCGTTTGCGTTGCCGCACTTCGTTGCAGCTGTTGTTCGAATTGTCCTCATCTTATATATAAAGCTGAATGTCTGTTTGTATGTATGTATGTATGTCTGTCTGTATGTATGTATGTGTGTACGTATGTTCCGAATAGAAAATTCCATTTCTGAACCGATCCGGACCAAACTTGGCACACATACACTACGGGCCCCGGCGGGTGTCATAGGCTACTTTTCGTCATCGATCGATATCGATTTTATCGATTTTTATCGATTTTTTTGCTGAGTTCACCTACGGGGCTGGGAGTTGGCACAGGGGGGTAATCGGGCATGGGGATTCCGAATACAATATTGGTCTTCAGGATTATCGATTACTTTTATCGATTTTATCGATTTTTTTGCAAAGTTTGAGCTACGGGGCTGGGAGTTGGCACAGGGGGGTAATCGAGCATGGGGATTCCGAATACAATATTGGTCTTCAGGATTATCGATTACTTTTATCGATTTTATCGATTTTTTTGCAAAGTTTGAGCTACGGGGCTGGGAGTTGGCACAGGGGGGTAATCGAGCATGGGAATTCCGAATACAATATTGGTTTTCGGGATTATCGATTACTTTTATCGATTTTATCGATTTTTTGCAAAGTTGGAGCTAGGGGGCTGGGAGTTGGCACAGGGGGGTATTCGAGCATGCTGATCATCCCCAAGGGGGGTGATCAGCATGCTCGATTACACCCCTGTGCCAAATTCCAGCCCCCTAGCTCAAATTTTCAAAAAATCGATAAAATCGATAAAAGTAATGGACGATCTTGAAAACTAATATTGTATTCGTAATCTGCATGCTCGATTACCCCCTGTGCAAACTCCCAGCCCCCCAGGTCAAACTTTACAAAAAATCGATAAAATGGATAAAAGTAATGGACGATCCTGAAAACTAATATTGTGTTCGTAATCAGCATGCTCGATTACCCCCCTGTGCAAAATCCCAGCCTCGCATGTCAAAATTTACAAAAAATCGATAGAATCAATAAAAGTAATCGATAATTCTGAAAACTAATATTGTATTCGGAATCCCCATGCTCACTTCCCCCCTGTGCCAACTCCTAGCCCTGTAGGTGAACTCTGCAAAGAAAACGATAAAAATCGGTAAAATCGACATCGATCGGTAACGAAAAGTGGACTGTGACACCCGCCGGGGCCCGAAGTGTATGTGTGCCAAGTTTGGTCCGGATACGGCGGAGCCGGGTAAGCCAGCTAGTATCTTCTAAACGAATATCGACGGCACAGCGTTACAGAGTCATTTGAAAAGGAGGAGCTTACCTTTGATTTGATAGCCTTGGACAAAAAGAAAAGCTCCTGCAAACATCAAAAAGATTCTTGAAAGGCGCGTGCTGCACCATGTGCAGCACCGGTCCAAAACGTGTTAATTCGTTGACCGCACGGACTGGGCATCACTGCGGAGCACGCACAGCGACGTAGAACGTTTGCCCCTGCATAAATTCGCTCGCCGTTGTAAAGTCGTGCTCTCGCGACAATTCAGCCGCGCCGGTCATGGTCAGCGTTTTAGCAGCCCGTGAGGTCAACGAATCGACGATACTTCATTTGGTAAAATCACGGACTGCTCTAAAACTCTTTGAAGGAGGAGGGGGGGGGGTATTGTACGCTAATTACGACTATCACATCCATTTTCACATCAGCCATGTGGTGGAGTTAGGCAGGATTATGGTGACTTGTCAAAATCACTTTCCCATAACTTCGTCTACGGAAGAGGGGGTGGGGATTGATATTTGGCACGCTTCTATTATAATCATCTTGCGGTAGCGCCTTTTCTCGGGATGGGTGTACGGTAGATGAGTGAAAAACGAATTTACCCAGAACTTTGGAAGATTCATAGTGACACCCTTTCGCCTTTGATAATCGCCTATAAACGTGTGTGGGACAAAGACAGCAATGCTAAATTCTCTTACTTTGAAAATCAGACCAAATCATTGAGGAAACTGCAAAGTTGTTTTGGCTCAAGGAAGAAATCAAGAGGAACTCTCCCCCCCCCCCATTCCCCCCTCCCTGTATGATCAACCTAGACGTTGCTCCAGCGTTCACATGAAATTAAATACGGCATGGAGTGTAAACTGGTTAAAGAAAGTACAAAAATGAGGCAAAAGTTACGTTTCATAATTCTGTGTCTAAGTATTAGGTTGTAAAGAAAGTTCCCGGGCACTTTTCGAAATTTCATTTTCCGACGCATTTTTTTGGCGTTCGGTCGGACTTTGACAAAAAGATTTTTATGCCCAGTAGAGGAAAGCACAAGCTTTTCAGAATCGCTTCTAATTTTTTATGAACATCAAATCATGTTTGATCTGCACATCAAAAAAGAGTATCCTTCCAACCATAAAATTTCGCAATTTTTCTTTCTGCTGCCATTTTTCTGTGCATTTCATAGAATTTCGTCCAAATCATAAGTGACCTGAATGAGGAGCCTTTCAACTTCTGACCCACAGCTACATTAGCGTTTTGGGATTTGCGCGAAGAAATTACAAGCCGACGAACTTGCCTCTTACCGCAGCTCTTTTCGCATCTGATGTCGCTTCTGCAGAAATCGCCTGGCCTATGTGATGAGTCCAAATGATATGCAAAGCATTACCACAACAATGCTCCCAGTGATCAAAGATTTGGTCCTTCCTGCGCAGAACTAGAAAACTTCAAAGTCACTCAAGAATGGTGCATTTTTGGAAGCAAAATATGGTCGATTTTCAAACTTTCTGGGAAAGTTTTTTTGCAGGTGGTCCTTCAAAAACATGTATGGTCCCCGCCCCAGGAAATCTCTATATAACTACAGCATCTATATAACTATAGCATGCTGGTGGATCGCAATGAGGCGCTGGAAAGCCAACAAGACAAACATTTGTTGTAGATGAAATTCTCTTTGCAAAGAAATTTGTAGCTCTGAGAAAGGAACAGTCTGCTTGAAGTTACAGCGATTTGGAAAAATTTTTCGCAAGTGCCCGAGGACTTTCTTTACGACCTAATAATAGAATCATTTGTGCTACTTGGGAAGGATCTTCGTACAAAAAAAAAGTTCGCGATGGTATTAAGCGAGCTTGTGAGATATCACAGGGTTTCGATGCTAATGGGAATATATGAATAAACAAACGCTTTTTCCGTGCTTGTTCTCATTCCTCTAACGAATCTGATGCACACAGCAGTTATGCAGCAGCTTTGACATCTGATTTTATGCCGCAACTGAATTCTTTCTCAAAAGCACTCTTTTTTTCTGACCTTTTATTAGTAGGATCTATGCCTCTGGCTCGAAAGCAGCCAGTTTTGCTTTGCTTGTATCGACAATTAAATTGTCATAGACAAGTTGTTCCCTCAGTTTCAACTGAACACTGACTTGATCAGTCTTTCTCAAATTGACAGGTTTACAAGCTTTTCGAGCCTGCGAGATGTTATCACTTTCTAGCAAGTTTCAGATGCCTGTAAAGGTTACTGCAGAACGAAGGCGCAGAAGCAGGATAAGTTGAACGGGCAAGAACTCAGCGCGCGCGTATCTTCACCGTTGTAAACCCTGCGCTTCGTGCGCGTCTACGGCGCGTTCGCGCTCAAAGATGTTGCGCCTTCGTCATGCAGTAGCCCTATAAATGACAACCATATGTTTTCTGCAAAGCATGTAATGCGCCTATGGCGACGTGGAATGGAAAATCTGATCGGCTCAGATAAGTGAGAAAATACGGTAGTTCTTTTTTGGATCTGGGAATCTGCAAAAGCGTGGCCAATAGACTAGCGGAATTAGAGATAGAATTTGATACCTTTTTATTATAGTATTTCTCATTTTTTAGTCGATGTTCTTCGACTAGCATTTTGATTTTACTTTTGGCTTTAGCAAGATACTGAGCATTCTAAAGATTTACAAAGAGAAATAGACAAAGTTGAGATGGAACGCCTTTCAGCGTAAATGTCTTGTGGATATCCAATACGCTCAAACGCATCAGAGCTTCCACCTCTAAATACTGGTATCGACGATTAACAGTCAAAACTGACTAAGTTGTCTCAAACATCAGCGCTTTTCTTATCAGGATTTCTCGGATCACTAAGCACTAGTTCATGCCATCAGTCAAGTAGACGTGCGACAAACAATAAACATTAGCTTGTTAAAGGCAGCGTCCAGGCAAGTCTGGACACATGGGGATCGCACGTGGATAGTAATTTTGAAGCCCTAACCAAGCCACTGTCCAACCGGCAGCTCAGGTAGTGCTTTAATGGTTGAGATATTCCCTTCGAAACTGGACCCCGCGATCGTTCCGCATGGATTCATGGCGCAAAGCATGGATCCTGGCGCAGAACTGCCATAAATCGATGCCGATCGCGAGGTCGAGTTTCGGGGAAGATCTCGGCCGTTGGAGCACTACCTGCGCTGCTGCTTGGGCAGTGCCTTGGTTGGGGCCCCAGGGGTACTTTCCTCGTAAAAGCCCCATATAGGTCCAGATCTGCCTGGACGCTGCCTTTGAGAAGATGTACAGCAAGTTTCTACCATTAGGGGGGGGGGGGGGGGGATCAGATTCGGGCACCCGCATCGCAATGATTCGCACTGTTTCGCAGCTACAGCACCGAATCGTGTTTAAAATCCATGTCTGCAATCTCCACTCTCTTTAGTCTTGGCTTGGCAAAGCGTTGTGCGCTCGCAAAAACTTCAACGGTGCGAATACGCTGCTCGTGAAATTTGTCGCCTACTTGGGTTGAAACAGACTCTAGATTGTAAGACAAACTACAATAGCGATTTCATATGTTTTGCATGTTCAAACTACCATTTTCGTGCCAACTCTTAGTTTTTAGCTGTGTGTAATCAAAGGCAGTGTCATCAAAACTTAGGCCTCGGATTTCCGCAAATTATCTTTGTATCCCTTCTCTGTGTACGGTGCAAACCCACAATTCCTCAAACCGCTTTTCGAAGGCTGTGCAGAAAGAACGCGAATAGAACTGTGCTCTGCTTCCGCCTCTGTCGCTATTCAACAACTTAGCATAAACATTGAATTGGCATAAATCTTGATAAACGTGATAATACACGGTTTTTTGAAAGATTATCGTGGCGTGCCATTTCAAGGGCGATCAATACTGAGACTGTAAATCATTATGTTTATCCGAATCATGCCCAATAAAGGACGTCCAAGTACAGCAGGTTCAATGGAAAGCTCTACAAATTCTTCACAATTCCTTATTCTAAAGCAACATGATTCAATTAACAAATATTCGAATAAGCACAAGCAGCGGACTAAACCTAACTCCATATCTTCACCAAGAAAGAAGGATAGGGTATTGCCATATTACACTGCAAAGATAGTAAAGCAAATCGGCTATTGATATCATTTATGGAGCTACTGAAAAGGAAAAAACTAATAGTCTGCTTGCGAATAGCAAGACGTCGCAACCAATGTTTCGGTTTCTAGATTTGCCAAGATCAGCAGGCATTCTTCTGGATTTTGATGAGGTGTGCAATATATCTTTTGGTTATTTCATCTTGATCCTCACAGGAGCCAAGATTGGAAAATCGATGTGGTATGCCAAGACTGATGAACTCGTCGTCTTCATCGACAGATTCACTGCCATGCATTTTCTGAAACAAACAATTTTAGACAGTAAAAAAACTACTTACACTATGATCATACTGCTGTTAGTCCTCAATATGTAATGTCATGATTTTTTTAGGGTTAGCAAACTTTGCTGACAATCTGGGACGCTTACATAGTAATCGCAGTCATCTAATACTATCCACATCTCAAAGAAAAAATCCTCCAAAAGTGAAGTGTCATTATTTCAGTGGTGTATAGTTATGTATCAATTACCAACGAGTATTCTCGACCTGGTGAATTTATGCGTTATTTTTTCTTCTACAGCGAAAGTGAGGGTAGATCTACAATGACCGCTTTCAACTTTTTGAATTGCTCTTACTTATTTCAGCGCATTTAAAAAAGTCTTGTTTGTTTTTATCTTCACTTTAACCATCAAGACTTCGGTTATTGGTGCTCAGTTTGATGATCATTTCGAAAAATGCATGAGAAGCTGACCTACGAGATATATCACGACAAAATTCTTCACAAAAAAAAAGAATTAGGAAGCAAAAGTCTCTTGACATACTTATCCACTACTGTAAATCAGAAGTTCTGCAATAATGGATTGAGATGCAAGAAAAAAGCTGCGTTAACCATTGTGCACCTAAAAAGCTTAAGCGACCTACGACACGCTGCGTATGTAGGAGGACATACCTAATCCTCTGTGCTACTGGCAGTGATGCTAATCCTGTGTTTATGATTTCTATATCATCAACCAGTGATGAACTCTATCTTATATATAAAGTTGAATGTCTGTCTGTATGTATGTATGTCTGTCTGTACGTATGTGCGGAATAGAAATTTTTATTTCTGGACCGATTTGGACCAAACTTGGCACACATATACTTCGGGGCAGGGAGCGTGTCATAGGCTACTTTTCATTATCGATCGATGTCGGAGGGGTTGATCAGCATGCTCGATTACCCCCCTGTGCAAAATCCTAGCCTCCTAGCTCAAATTTTGCAAAAAATCGGTAAAATCGACATCGATCGATAACGAAAAGTGGACTATGACACGCTCCCTGCCCCGAAGTGTATGTGTGCAAAGTTTGGTCCCGGGCGGAGCCGGGTTTGCCATCTAGTATTCTATATAGCTGTGGAACGCCCGTAGGCTAAAGAATGAGCTGCTCACTCTTGAGTATCTAATCACTTAAGAGTGAGTGGTACCCGTGCGCCAGGAGTGTAGCAGATCGGCGGCATCTCCTTTCAAATGCCAACTCGTGTACATCATAAAGTCGCCTGCACGAAATCGCCCGGGTTGTTGTAGGCTGAACGCACGCGAGCGTGTCTGCAACGCGGCTGCCGAGTACGGGCGCTATGATGACTCATGCGCGCGAATGCCAATGTTAGCCTGCAAGAGACACGCGCGCGGGTGCTCATTCCGGGCGGTTCCGTGCAGTCAATTATACCTTGTACTCGATTCAGCCCCGCCTTCCTTCGTATATAAGGACCTCCGAATGTATTAGAGGTTCCCCGGTTCACACCGGAATACCTCGATATTCTCTGTCCAAATCTACGTCACGTGCGAATAACTACTATTCTAACTACTCGTCTACCCTATCACTTGGTACATTCCAAATCCCGACTGCCCCGCTTGGTCTTGCACAGCATTCGCGAACGCGCCTTCTGACCACTTCCCCAAGGCTGATCAACGACTGAAGCTCGCCTTTAGGCGCTTCCCCACGTTCATGCGTAGGAAAGGATCAGAAGACACATTCGCGAACGCGGTGCAGTGCCCAAGCGAGGCGATCACGTGGGATCTGAGCCGCTGAGAAGAGGGTGCCGTCCTGTCGTCACGGGACGACCTGTAAGCCGTCCGCGCACAAGTGAGGTTAGTGGTGACAGGAACTCGCTTTCGAAACGCGTACAGAATCTGGAGGTCGCATTTTCCGAATGGACTCGGTGATTTGGGGGGAGCACCGCTCCGATCCGCTGGCAGTGGGCTGGTGAGTGAGGCTGCAGCTGAGCTCGGGTTCTGTATCTATCTCACACAAACGTGCTTTTTATTCACTTCTCTAGCCATGATAAGCGATCGAAGCTCGCCTTCCACCGCCACTCCCAATGCTAGAGGGTACCCGTATTTACGTATTAGCGGTAAGCAAATTTCACATGCTGAAAATCAATTAAATTCGAATGCTTGTACTCCAGATGCATGCAATGTCAACCAACCACCTTACCTGCAACAGTGCCGTGAGCCAGTCGTCAGTCAAGATTTTGTTATCTCCATAATTGATGAAGCTGTGAGAAGACCCAATATAATATTTGTCCAGCTGTAAAAGAGTAGACTACTTCCTTTTAAAAGACTTGAATAATAAATAATAATGATTTAATGTAACTTTCTGCGCAATTCACTGAAGTGCGCTATTAATACCTCTAGGCAGAAGGCAACTGCTCAGGTTTATAGGCAACGTTCGGGCAAAACTAGGGCGCTTACAGTGTCCATACGAAATGAGAACAGGACGTTTGTAAAAATCCAGTAGAGATTTTTCCCTGGTTTTTGACTTTGTACTTTTGGTCAGTTCGAACGTTTCCGTCATCAGGCAGTGCTCTAGCGCGACCGGCTTGCTACAATGCAGATCTAGAAAGTGGTGCGCAAAGTGTTGAGACGAGCATCCAATCTCACGCGCAATGCGATCGCACAGCCTCATTTGGCAATCAGTCCTTCGCAAAACTCCCATTTGAAGGGTATGGGTCAGGAGTCACAATTTCTCGCGAAGCGACGCCGACGCGACGTCAAGCAGTATAAAACTAGGCTTTCGCCAGTACCCCTGTCGCAATGTTACTTGTGGGATCGAGCCGTGTATCTGGTCACCCCCCCCCCCCGCTCTACTGTGGCGCCGTGCCACTCACCGGAGAGTTATAGGCCGTCCGCGCTGCGCACGGGGAGCAGCGCTGCTGCGTCCGTTAAGATAGTTCATGGCGCAGAGAAAACAGGCGGCGAGAGTGCACGGGAAAAGAGGAGTGACGCGCAATACACACCTTGCGCACTCTCCGCACCCTGCGCGGACGCCCTATACTGTGAGGTACAAAATTTGGGCGCGGCGAACGACCACCGCGCGCGGTGCGACTCCTGACCCGGTGCCCCATTTGAACATCCTGAAGCTTATTATGCAAAAAGGGCTGATCTCGGACAAGGTCAGGCGGTTTATTTTGCGAAATGGCCGATATAGCTCTCGAGCACTTTCCATTACCAGATCCGTCCGCCCACGAACGCTTCGCTTACACGGCAACCGCATTCATCTTGGATCAGCCTTATTCGAACCTTCACGTGTCATCGGTATTATGCAAATGTAGATAAAACTAACCGTTGGGACAAATTCACGCTCCAGCCATTCGGCCAAGCTGGCAGGAATTTCGCAGTCAATCATGATAAGAGAGGCGATCCTCGATGTTTTGAACAGATCAATCATCAACTGTGGGGTACACGTTAAGGCATTTATGCCATGAAATATCATCCCATTGATGATCATTCGATTCTGATCCAGGCTATTGATCATATGCTTGAGCTCGTTAGTGCGGAACGTGACCTAAAAATTTGACAACAGGCGCATTGTAGTGACTGTAGGCATCCAGCAGTGCCCTTTAATTCAACGAGATCGGCGGCTGGAACCGCTCGCGCCCGCGACGCAGTCTGCGTCTCCCTCGCGAAGTGCTTTCTGATCATTCCCTAGCCTTCATCAGGTACAAGCTCCGCCTTCCAGCCGCCAATCCAATTGAATCAAGGAGTACTTATCATCCACATCCTTAACAGTCATATCGTGTGAATTCGTAAGTAAACGCTTACTCTGTGAAAGAGCATCTGCTCGATGTAAGCATGTTTGTAAAAGACGTGATAATCAGAAAGTCCAAGAGGGTATGTTGCAACAAAACGTTTGCACCTGTAGAACCAGTTGTCCTATAATGGACAAATGAGAAAGATCGCATTTACAAGGGTATATACATTGTACATGTTAAAAAATATCATATACTGGAGGAACGTACTTGGGAAATGATAACTCTTCTTAGTATTTCTTTACGACTGATATCTTCACTACTACTAGTCCAAATTGCTTTGTTCTTATTGATCATCCTGTTCATTCTCCGACAGACAAAGCGAATGTAATAGAAGCACCACGGTTCATACTAAAAGTCATGTTTGAATACAGGGCTCATTAATTGCAGAGTCGGGTGCACCAGCATTACTTTCGCGCGGGACTCTGCAACTTTTCCGCGAACATGCTCTCTAATCATAACCTCCTTTCTTACGCTCGCGGTGGGAACACGGCTCAGCAAAGGTGGCGCATTCACAGGCTGGATGTCGTTTTTTCAAAGAAAAGCAAAAGGGAACTTGTAATGTTCCCAAAGTTCGTTTTCAGAAATCTGATCAATGTTAGCAAACAAAAATCTAACCCGTAGTAAGTAAGCCCTTACTGCAACTCCGACGTCGTTTCACCAGCAACAGATAGAATAACACATTGCAAACCTGACGAGTGCTCAGACGTGTGCACACGTTTTCAACTTGTTAAAACACAATCTTTATGCACAAAAAAATTAAATGACAGTCATTTAGTCTGTTTACAACCGGTAGGTAATATTGAGTCACCAAATTTGGTGTTTACATCCGCGGCGACGATCCAAAGGAAAGTATGAAAAATTATGAAAAAATTATGTGAATAAAAATAGCTGTAAGTGTTTTTCTAATTTAGGTTGCTCCTGCGCATCCTGGGAGCACCCCGAGCTTGCGCGGAACCTAGTCATGAATTTCTTCCTTCTTCACGTAATTTTCCAAAATTTTTCACATAAGTGTACTCTTCAATTCAAATTCTACATATGAATACTTACCATAACTCAAATCTCGTCTCTTCTGTTTTGCTACGGCCTTTTAAACTATTTAAAACCGTTTAAGGCAGCGTCTAGGAAAATCGGACCTAAGGGGATCGCCAGAAGATGATTTTAAGCTCCTAACTAAGACAATGTCCGAGCAACAACTCAGATGGTGCTGTCGCGGCTAAGATGCACTCAAGTCATTTCATATACCTAATTCCTATATTTCCTTGTTTCTCTCCTTTGAGATAACATTCTTATTAAGGTGATGTACAAGCTCAGACAGTTCGAGCGTGTAGCGCGCGGGCGTTGAAACGGTGGCGCAACACCCACACAGACAACCGCAAAAGACTTTCGGGGGACAGCGCCTATCTCTGGCATTCCCGGGCACGCTCTTAACCATTGCTGCCACGTGGTACGGGGCGACGGGGCGTCTGCTCGTGGTGACGTCACATTAGCCCGACAAGGACTTCCGAGGAATTTGCGAATTCACCGGGGATTTAGGCGTACAGCACCTCCGGGGCACAATTAGTATCCAGCCAAGTCGTTACGCTGATACTCAGCCTGTGCATTCTCAAAAATAGGCTGCTCTCGCTATCCTCGCGTTCTTTTCCGCTCTCCGTTCTTTCTTCTTTTTCATGTTCATGGCCAGCCTTTTTGGTGTTTATGTTCTTTTAAGTTCCTTCTTTTCAGTTTCAGGTTCCGGTTTTTCGTGCGGATATACCCAAACCGTCATTCTTGGTGTTCGGCTCTCGTTTTCGACTTGCTCAGATCGTTACTCCTCGCTCTTGCGTTCTTTTCCGCGCTTCCGTTTTGCCCATCGGCATTTATGGTGTTTATGTTAGTTTAAGCTCCTTCGCCTTAGGTTTTAGGTCCCAGGTTTTCGTGCCGATGCATTTTCAAACCATCGCTTTTGGTGTTCGGCTGGTTATTTATTGTAGTGGAACCTTTGAGCGCATATCTATTGGCTGTCTAATGTGGATAGAGGTTTTTGTGTGTATGATGACTCGTAATAGCGTCAGCTGTTCCTTCTATTGGTCAGTATCATAATTTGGGGCATCTAATCTATGGAACATGTCTAAACTTATCCTAAAATCTTACAATAAGTCCGCTTTTTTGATTCAGCCAGATAAGGCCCTTCAGATAGGTCCGCCCTACACATAAGTCCTTTTTCTCCATTATAACTAGTACCCTGAAATCCTGTCAGATAAGTTAGAGGACTGTCCGATAAGTCCGGACTTATCTGTGGAGGCCTTATCTGTAAGATTTAGGGTAATGTCTGGAGTGTTAGATGATCCAAAATCTTTTTGAAACGAGTCTGAGGGGAAAACGGCTGGAACTAATAGAAAGAGCTTGATGAGATCTTTTGAATAAGTGTGAGGTTTTCAAAGAATTCTTAATGTGTTCTATTAATAGGGTGAGTAGAAGACAAAATGAGGTCTTCGAGCCAAGAGGAAGTTTCGGATGTTTTTCGGCGAGGGGTGAGGGAATTTCGGGGCAGCTGTATATTGCCTTATAGGGCTGAAAAAGTCTATCAGCCACTATATGCAGTCGATTTCACCCCTGATTAGGCGAAACATTCTACGTGGAGCAGCGCGTGCGCATCTCTGGAGGCTTCGCGAGCGCACGGCGCTGAAATTTTGCCAAGCAAAGACTAAGGAGATTGAGGAGACGCAGACTTGGGTTTACAACGCGATATGATACACTGTGGCTGCAAAAAGGCGCGAACCGTTGCGAGGCGGACGCCCGCCAATCCAATTTCCCGTAAAGCGGGTGGAAACTTACCGTACCTTGCCCAATAATATTCTTCTTTCCAGGTTTCGTCGTCATGACTCGGCTTGGCTGGCGCCATGTTGGTGCAGTCGTATCAACTACGGTAGCTGCACGGCTCCAGCCGAAAATTACGAAAAAGGCCACTAAAGCTCGTTTTTACTTTTTTCAACGTTTTTTTTTGGGGGGGGGGGGTCTTTCCGAAACGGCTTAACCCCTGCCCCGGTTGTTTTCCGGGGCGGCCTCCCCAAAATGAGGCTTGATGTTGCCCCGAAGCCCAATAAGGGGCTTTCATGTCCGAAGAGGGATTCGGACTTGTTTCGTCATTGATCTGTTCGCAGTTCTCCAATATGTACTTGAAATTTGCATTTTATGATTGCAACATTCCACAATTTCGAGGAGGAAGAAAATCAAGTTTTCTCATGTTTATGGTATTTTCATGTATACTTCAACTGCTAAAGTTTTGTGTGTGCAAGTGTGCGTGGCGTGTATGTGCCTGGACTTACGAGGATTTGGGCGGGGCTGTCAGTGAAGGGAGATTGGTATCCAAGAGGTAAGCGGAGTGGAGTGCACGACGAGGTTGACGTGGTGGGGGTGCGATTATCCAACTTATCTGCCAACTCCATAGCCTTTCTCATGCATTTCGTGCGCGAAGGAGGCACTGAAAGGGACGGAAGGGGCGGAGTTGTCAAAGCGGCGTGGCCGTTGACAACTTCGTCATCGACACTTCGTCGGGCTGTTTTCGGCTCGGCGGACCGTTCGTGCGAAGTGTTTAGATGACCTCCTTGACGAGGCCGTCAAGCGCTGCAAGGACTCTTCTGTAGTGCTTAAAGCGAAGTAATTACCCAACTTTTTAAAAAACACTTCAGCACAGTTACTTTTTGTACTTGTTGTTCTATACTACAAATAAATACTAATTTCAATAGTGTCCTGTCTTTTCAGAAAAAAAATTATTTTTGAGTGGGGATTCAGTATCTAGAGCTAATTTGGGTGGGGTTTAGGGGCATAAATCCCGTTTGGAGCTTACTTAGGGCTAGCTACAGTATGCAAGGATAGGCTTTCGGGACTTCCAATTAATAATTTTCGGTGGGCTCCGGTAAAAGAGGTACCGCCGGTGGAGAGACCCCGGCCGGTACCACATCGGTCCACCTATGGATCCGGTCCGTTGCCCGAGGGAACAACCTGACTGTATCCATCAATGGACCAGCCTCGCTAGCGTATTCGGGAAATATGCATAAGCTTGCATGAGGAGAAGGCCTTTTCGCAGGGCAGTCTTCAGCAGCCTTGATTACTCGTTTCAACAAGTTACCGAGGCTAACCTTCATTCCATCTCTGCTTTGCTTGAGCAAAAGCCGCCGCAAGGGGTGTCGAGCCCTGAGATGGTTTTTGGCGGTCGTCGCATCGGACACCCGATGGCATGCTTTTGCGTCAAAATCCACCGCTTTCATGATGGCTCTTCGCGCAGAAGTCTGCCAGCCAACGCTATCGTCCACCATATACGGTAGCGTGGACAGATATCGCCCAATCCACATTTGCTGCTGACCCTGCTCTGCGCCTCTGACCTGCGGCACGCATGGGTAACATTATGAAGCTCTGCTGAGGGCCAGAACATCTTGCCAACAGTTGTTGCGTGTTGTCAACACGTTTTGCATGTTGCCAACATGTCTCAGTGGGCAAATTTTCCGCTTGATACGGTATGCCTGCGATGCTGGGAAAATGCGGCAAAATTTACGCGGGAACAAATAATACGCCTGAAATGCCGGTCAGTGCGCGCACAAAAATGTCGGCATTACTGAAGTGGCTATTTGTTCACGCGCGAGTTTTACAGCATTTTCTC